TTATTTTCGGAATTTTACGGTATTTACTAAAACAGTGGGTATAATATGGGGAAGGGTGAATGTAAATTGGGAAATGTTATCAGGGTTTAAGTAGCTCGAATGAACATTGTGGTGCTTTTTAAATTTGTTCACGCCTTAAACAGGGCGCTTGTTCGAGGGTGGCTTTTATTTGAAAGTTGGGCGCCACAGAAAAGTAGACATAAACACAGAAGAACACTTAATACCAAACAGTGAATTAAGAACACGCAACAGCCATGCTTTTAAGTATAGAATGCCAAGAATTTGTAAGGACGTCTTTAAGTTTTCCTTTTCTCCTAGATCAATAACAGAGTGGAACACACCGCCCGCTGACTTAGTGAATTGCAAGTCATCATCTTTGTCGTTGTTGTTGCACGACTACGACGTGAAACTTGGCAAACTTCCTAGTTAATACACGTTTTATGGATGAAATGTGTATGTGCTGAAAAAAGACTTTGTTGCTTTTGTTCCTGTTCGCTTTTATCTTCACTGCCGCTTATTTTCGCCCAGCTGGTCGCTAGCATTTCTCATTTTGAATTTCTCACCACCAATATAAAATTTTCATGTTGTCCTTGTAACGAAATACGTCTCCTTTGTCTTTTATCTCTCGCTTTAGCTCTTTCTCTGTTATCCCCCTTAGTGTAAACATAATTAAAATTTAGTCGAAAAAAGACTCGGCTTTGTTTAATTTTCCTCTCTAAAAGTCCGGATGGTCATGCGATTTACCGCCAAAACGCAAGGGTGATAGGATGAGAGATTTCAAAACGACTTACACGTAGGGGCTGACATATGGACGGACGGACGGTCGGACGGTCACGTGATTACCAAAATTTCTCGCGTTTATAGCTTACCATATTTTCTTACCTATGGTGCTCCGCTGCGCATGCTTCGAGCGCGAGAAAGCTCCGCTAAAAAGGATTAAATCCTATTTGAAGTATTTGTCTTTTGCATAAATAAGCTTAATGTTGTTTTGTTGTGCTTTTCAAATAAATCCAGCTTGTTCAAGAGCTTCTGTCTTCAGTTTTGCCAGACGATCCGGTGACATACATTATGAGAAACATAAATTTTTATGTTAAAATCTGCATTTGTTACCAGGCGTGAAACCCGTAACTTCAAGCTCCACTAAGATATATTTGGTGATTACAGGAATCGGTGCTGAAGCGAACAACAAAAACAGTCAGCATCAGAATAAGTAAAAAGAAGTATTTTCAAAATAAATTGCGTGACCACTTCAAAACAAAAAAGCCAGATTATGCTAGCGGTGCTAAATTAAGATAAAAGCCAAAAGTTACGCTCGGTTTGCTAAATTATGCCAAAAATTATGCTTGCACCATCGACAAAACACTAGACGGCCCCAGAGTAGTTCTGAGTGACAAATAGAAAGAGTCACATGGTAGTCACGTGTTCACTTACCGCTGATAGATAAATCCAGAGTATTCCATATTTCTGTAATGAACAAGCGATGGTTCGCTTTTCCTGGTTTGCTTTCTTTTTTATCGCGGTCGTTTTGGAGACAGCAAATGGCTCCAAGCCTCCTAACATAGTACTGACTGTAATTGATGATCTGGGTTGGAGTGATGTGGGATTTCAAGGATCTGTTATTCATACTCCAAACATCAACAGACTGGCAGCTGAGGGCGTCATATTGGACAACTACTATGTACAACCTATGTGTACGCCAACCCGAAGTACCCTGATGACTGGAAGATACCCCATACATACAGGTGACAAGACAAGACCATAATTTATTTGGGGTCTTACACCACCTTGTACATCGACTTTTTTTAAAAAAAATTTAAAAGTACAATTTTCTACGTTAATCTATTAATTTATTACACTATACAAAACAAGTTATTACAACTAGCGATAGTTACATGCGCACAGACACATATTTTGATCTACATTTTGTCTTCCTTCTGGTTTCTTATTTTTAAGCATTCAAACACATGCTTTGCTATCAATTTTGGGTTTCAGGCTTCTCGTTAGGGGGATTTATTAAAAACATGAATATTTCATTAAGTGACATTTTTTCACTCTTATAAGATATTAATCTTTTTTCAGTTCCTGTCTAGCGAGATGAAAATTTCCATATGGGCTCAATATTATTCTTCTCTTAAGGTGATCCTGAATTGAACGATAGATTCCCCGTAGACATTATTACTTATTCATGACAGCCGGAGCAGCAAATTCAAATGCAGGAGCGCTTTGGAAAAGCTCCGAATAAGAGAAGAAAAGGCCTCATTTGGCCCACCAGCGTCGATAAAATTCATTCGTGCGACTTTGTTAGCTTCAAAATTACAAATACAGGAACGGAATAATGAAAATGAATGATATATCTACGATTTACAGTGTAAGCAAAAAAGATATGCGTTTTCTCTGAACTAGAAAACTGCTAAAAAAAAACCGGACATTTTCTGTACATAGTGGAAGCTGTCTTTGGGCTCGATTTTCTGGAAACCAGTAACAAAATCCACGAACGGAATTTATTAGACTGGTCTTTTCTTAAGCAAAATACGTTTAAGCTTTTAAAATTTATCCCAAGCGAAGCCGAGGTGCCTCGCGAGGTTTATAAATTTGTCGCGCCTTGATCACATAAATTGCTATAGATCTCTTGGGTGTCCGCAGTTGACGTCATCCGGTTGTGACGTCAGAGTGCGACGCTACGTCAGTGCGAATGCAAATGCTGTGCGTTTCGCTTCGGCTTTTTAACGTCGAAACCTTGCTTTTCCCTTTGAATTCATGTTACACCGAGGCAAACCAGCAATTAGTTGGTTCTTTCCCCGCCGATTGATGTGACCGATCGATCAAATCAAAGATTGGTTTGAGTTCTATACTTTGATACATCCATCTGTCGTTGAACCCGAGAGTGAATAAAGGCCGAAATAATGCAAAATGGCTTTGAAATACGCCTTTTAGCTAATTCCTGAAAGGAATTTCTGAATTCATGATAAATAGAGCTCTACCAGCTTCAAACAGCGTTCACGGCAGAAAGAATGCTTTAAGTATAATAATTTTAGCGCATTTATCAATCAGTTGCCGCGTGGCGAAGTGGTCAAGAATCTACGTATGGAAGATTTTTAGGGAGTGAGTTCAAGTTACCGCAGAGCCATATATTTTTAAACTTTGTACATTTTTTTATATTTTTTTCTTTGGCTTTTCTCCCTTTATTCTCGCTGGTGATCCTTCAAATCTTCGCGAGGATTTTGCGATAACGTATTTCTAGTGGACAGGAACCACTATCGCTGCGAGTTTGAAAAAGTCTGGTAGAAACGTAGCCTGCTAAGGGCCAATGAATAACAATCACTGTCAATTCTCTAACAGCTCGCGCGTGACGTCCTTCGCTTCTCCTTACCGGTTCCGGTAGTTGGCCCCAGCGCGTATATTAACTATGAAGTTTGTCAAGTTTTACGTAGTAGTCGTGCAACAACAACGACAAAGAAATGTACAAAAAAGGCTTTTTCCGCAGAAAACATAAAAAAAAACTACCTCTCGCGCTTCGCGCTCGTAAAATAAACTTGTGCTCGACTTGTAGGCAAGTTTAGCGCGTGACCAACTTTACGGCAAAATTAAAGGCAGTTTTCGTAAGATTGTTACTTTATTTGAACCCAGTTGTAATACGGAAGGTGCCTTAACTTACACGCAAGTGAAATCAGATAATAAGAAAACCCCACTGTTTCGTTCTATCTCACCCACCTCTTCTTCCAAGATCCAGATTGTTGAGGAACCTTTCTAGGGAACTAGTGGTTCTCACAACAAACAGACGATTACTTTGTTCAATTGACTTCTTTTTATTCTTCAGTCCAATGTCACGAAGTTAGCTCAACTGCTATTTTACAATTCTCTGCTAAATCAGTGTTACACCCATTTTTATGTCAGCCAGGAAACCAGCTGCTTAGTACAAACCGAATGCTGACATAAGTCTAAACAGTCTCATTAGCATCAAACCTTCGAGATAATTACTTTGTCGAAATGGCCCTTCAACCCAATTCACTATTAAGCTTGAGTCAACTGGCCAGTATAAAACTAGGAGAACAATATAAAAACTACAAGGTGGCTTCCTGTATACAAACTCTTCATATAAACAGATGACAAATTACTAAAATTACAACTTGAAAATCCTTGCTTGTTGTCGATTTACAAGAGGTGTGAAGCTTCTTGTCGAAAAATGATTGGTCAAAACTTTTCCATAAATTAACGAAAGACGTGATCAGAAACTCAGAAGATAAATTAAAAATGCAGTTCAAAGTACAAGGCAGAATTTAGAACAATAGTTGTTTATCTACAAAAACACCTATAAAATCACTTAAATCTAATTAAAGTTATTCGGTCAAAACTCAAAGAAACACGCTTAAAACTCTTAAAAACAAGTAAGGTAGTCATTTCCTGGTAAATATCGACGGAAGACCAGATTAAGGTCAAAAATGTTAAACTGAACGAAATACTTAATATAGACAAGGCTTTGCCATCTGTCAAAGGCTCCAATTGAACATATTTCATGAACAGAAGTGTTACCGCGGAGATGCACCAAATTGGTACATCTCCTTTGCACCGAATTCATGTCAGGAGAAACTTTCTATCGATCATCAATTGACTTAAAAACCAATACTGTTAGTAGTGAAATAGCTTACTCAAATCAATCAACAAGAACGCTTACAACAACCCATCTACAAACGTATATCGTAGCAAATGCCACAAGTGGCTAACGTAACTCTTCGATCAACATTTTCCTTCAACAAGACCAAGGAGAATGAATCAACAGAAATCATTTTCTCATTTCGGGAGAGGATGTCATTTGATCAAGGTTGATGCGTAGGAGTTGAACACCAAGTAAAATAAATCGAAGTGGTTTTTATGATATTTTCCTTTACCTATAGATACTTCCCGAATCGAATGAATTTTGCAATAAATCCCAAACACCAAATAAAATTCCTTTAATAATTTTACGTCAAAAACATGCGCACTACGAACATTTTTTTATTGTTTAATAAGATACCGTTGTCCGCACAGTGATTTGAAGATTTGGGTTTCCTTCCCACTAGGTTTTTCCTTGCGCGTCTCATGAATCTGAATTTCCATGTGATTGTTCGGTTCAATCTGCTTGTTAGCGCCAGGAATGTTACGCGTTTCTTTTTAAGCTTTCGTGTGTACGCCGCGTTTTTAGTTCTTTTCATGTTCCCACCTTTAGTGTTGTTTAGTTCGTCGTAAGAGCGCTTATGACCTTGTGGAAATCAAAAATTGGATTCGTAAGCAAAGTCATTGGCGCGACAGAGGCGGAGTGGGAAGAATCAGAACGTTTCCATTTTCTTACGACTCCGTCGTTTGCGATATAGTGGTGAAAACCAAATCGGAATCGGTGGCAGAAGTGGAAGGATAAACCAATCACAATGCACGTTCCCATGCTTTGCGATTGGTTTAGCTCGACTTCGACAATGGTGTCAGTAAAACGCGGGGTAAGGGTCGGGGTGGGGGTCGGGACCGGAGCCGTGGTCGAGGTCTATCTCCCCCTAAGAATGCTGTTTTCGGGTAAGGTTAGGGTAAAGGTTATGGTTGACACTAACCCTAACCCTAACCCCAAGTTTTACTGACACCCCTTCGACGACCTATAGTTTTCACTTGAACATAAACCATGGAGTCGGAAGCGGAATCAGAACGCTGTTTTCACTATATCGTTAAGTCTTACTCCTCTGGTTACGACTCCGACTTCGTTGCTAGTGAAAACCAGCCTTAGTCGTTCAATAGGGCCATTTACACGAGGAAAAATAAGACGCGAACTGTACCATTTATACCAGCATGTCTTATCTAATAAGACGCGTCTTAGCTAAGCCGCGTCTTATTTTAGACGAAATGTGCCATTTATACCGAAAGTTCGCGTCTTATTTAAGACGCGTCTTATGTAAGACGCGTTTTATTTTTCCTCTTATAAATGGCCCTAATGTTCGCGTCATTGTTAAGTCTTTTTTTTTGTCGTTTAGCTCGTCCTAGTTTTTCGTCTAATCTCGCTATCGTCTTGTAAGTATCTTGCTTGTATTTTGCCTTTTTTCAGTTTGCCGTATTGCTTTCGCTCAGTTTTGTAGTTATTTTATCTTGACTTTGTATTTGTTTAATGTTTGTTTTTTATTAACGCTTCGCTTCAATTACATCGTTTCGCTTTGGTTCGCCTTGTCCATATTGATTGTAGGAAGTCTAGAAATAAGTTTTATGAGTGGAATTACAACACGTAAAGGCTGCGACGTTACTGGAACGTACGTGCTGTGGAAAGTCCTTTCGTCACACTCAATACAAATGCCCGAAAATAGTCGGCATGGAAAAATTAGCATAACGTAAATTCAGTGAATGTTGTAACGCGGATTTTTGGCCGGTTCGCAGGCTAGGTTCTTCTTAAAAATTTCAAGGTGTTGCAGTGAACCAATCTTTAAGGCGAAATTTTCAGACATCGTGAAGATTATGTGACGAGGTTTAAAACAATTTCTGTCGAGCCGTTCTAGAGATATACAGAAAAGCTCTAGAAATGAAACGTTAGAATAAATATGCACTTAGAAAGGTGGTGAGAAAACACTAGGTTAGTTTTCAGGATCGCAAGAAAGAAAATACACCAAGATTTCCTAGCATTAACATATGATATTAAGCTGCATTCTGACGCTAGAGTAAGTTGAGTAATTTGAGTTCTTTAGAACTTTGTATTTAATTTAACATTTCATCTCGGCTATTGAAAATATAAGGTTAGAAATTTATTTACGTTTTACTTGAAACATACATATTTTTTTACTCACGGAGGTTATTTACTAAACACCACACTTTAAGTTCCTAGTGTCTAGGTCTAGATCCCGGGGGTCCGGGCTCTAGATCGCGCAAAATTCCGCTTTTATCGATTTCAAAGCTTTTTGTTTATTGTTATCATAGTGATATCGATTTTACTAAAAATTGTGTTTTGACAAACTACAATCCACAATACACTGGTTTTATAGCGGTGCGGACAAGTATAAAATCATTTTTTAAGGCGATTGAAAAACAAAAACAGTATGGTCTCCAAAACACTGTATCGAAACACCTTAAAGATAATTTTAAAATATTCTGTCATCCTCACTATTTCTTCATCTTTCAGGGTTGCAGCACTCTGTGATTCTGCCTTCGCAGCCTTACGGTTTGCCACTTAATTTCAAAACTTTGCCAGAAACATTACAAGACGCTGGTAAGAAAGAGCTTTTTTAAATGTTCTCTACCAATTTGAGAGCGAAGAAAACAAGCCCCAAAATATAGGATTATGTGGAACTCAATCCAACTTTCAAAATCAAATATTCTATTGAAGATTTAGACTCAAATGCCAAGCGAAAGATTTTTGCTTTACAGTTGAAAGATTCTACTTTGCCTGTCCTGGCTAAGTTTTGTCAATCGAGGTCACTTCAGCTTTCAAGTATTTGTTAATTTTCGTAAATTTCTCTCCCACTGAAGGTGTTTTATGCTACCGAAACTGGGTGTGGGGTCTCTGTGACTCCTTGACGTCTTGACTTTATCTCTTATTTTGGCTTAGTTCGATAATGCCCTGTTTATTGGATCGCAGCCTGTGCGACAACCATTTCTGTGCGTGCGAGCCAGTTTGGGCGAGTGACGCGAGTGAGATAATCGGGGGTGTGATAGTCCAGTTCTGGCCCCTCTCTCTCTGTCACACAACGCAGGCGTTGCGTGACAGAGAAAGAGAGAGAGAGAGGCCATAACTGGACTAGGAGTGTGAGTGAAAGGGAAAGCAAAAGAAGCCTTCTTCCCTAATCCCTTCATGTTTTGGCGCTCACTTCGACTTTCAAGGCGCAACCTATCTAACGATACCCTGGGAGCAGAGGCCCTTCGTTCTTCCTAGGTAAACCAGGAAGAGTTCCATCCTCTCCCCGACTTATCTAAGAAGATGGAAGGGCCTCTGCTCGCCGGGTAACCTAACGAATAACGTAACAACAAAATTAAGATGAATGAGGGCAGGAGTCCATAACCTGGAGCTTGCAACTCCCACTCTTGGCTTATAGTGCAAAGGCGTTTTCACAAATCACTTTATTTTTAGCATCATTTTGCAGTATTTTTTCCCACGAAAATGGAAGCACTGCCCCGTTTGTGTGCGCAACCATAGTACGATAATAATGATTTGTATTTGTATTTGTATTTATTTATTTGCCACACGATTACAATAATAACAAAGAAATGCCAAAAAAAATGTAGGAAGAAATGGCGAGGAGGCCTAAAGGAAACTATAGAGCTTATTTTAATTAGGCCTCCTCAATTACGATTTTTCGAAGATGGCATAAAAATTACGGCGACGAATACAAAATAATATCAGGTGGAAAATTAAACTAATCAATATTACGGAAGTTTACAAATAATGTTGAATATTAAAAGGCTTTTTCGCAAGATTTCTGTTGGAGTATACTAATAATTATTACAAATAAATGCCTTACGTGCTCTTTTAAAGGAAAAAGGTGAGGAAGCGTTGATGATGTTGGTGTTTAAGGTGTTACACGAGTTTCTTGTGTTATACGAATGAATTTGACTTTGTAAAGTAAATTTACAATGAAATTTTAAAGGTAGAGTATGGTTTTGATAGGAGTACATGAATAAGCCAAGTTGTATTAAGTATATATCATGAAATTTTAAGGCACCAAGATTTTGAAAGATTGGATCAGTATGTGCATCGAAAGTGGTTTTTGATAATAATAATAACACATAAATGCTGTCAAACATCAGAAAATATCTCCTAGTCTCCGGTTTTTCCTGAAGGATTTGTAAGGCTTATTTGATAGTCAAAAGTCGCGGGAAAATCTATCTAAATATAAACTGTTCCGTAAGAAGGCGGACCGAAGGATAGAGATTAGTCGTCACAAGTCACCACAGGACAGCCACTCTGTTTGGGTAGCACAAGGACAGCTTCGTAAAAGCGCATGCTCATTGGTGTTGTATTCCCGTAGGTTACGCCACTCATATGGTTGGTAAATGGCATCTTGGTTTCTTTGAGTGGTCATACACTCCGACCTACCGCGGTTTCGAGTCTTTTTATGGGTTCTACACGGACATGGAGGATCACTTCGAGCATGAACGCCTCGGGATTCTGGATTTACGGGACGATACACTCCCTGTGCGGGACAAGGATGGGACGTACTCAGCCAACCTCTTCACCAAGGTAGGAAAGAAAAATCGAAAAAATGAAGAAAGTAAATCGAATAAAAAAAAAGAACAAGCAGTAAACCAAACTTCAGGGTGGAGAACAAGTCATTTCGTTGTTTGTTTTTTGTTTTTTTTTTTCGTTTTTAGACCTAATAGCTGTTAAGATTTTTTAAAGATGATTTTTGAACAAAACTAGTTTGTTTATGTACAGATTATCTGGAAACACTGTACAGTCGGATCTCCCGCTACTTGCATCTCTAGGATACGTATAACTTTCTACTACGGACAGTTCTCTTGATTCCAGAGATACCAATCTTAATACAATTCCAACATCTAATATATATATATATATATATAATAATCCAACTCTACATATATATATATATATACGTGTAATAAAGTGGCTAAAGCCGTTAAACAGTGCTCAATACACTTTTTAAGTGTAGAGCTTTGAATAAGGAGATATAACGAAGAGACAAAATTCTCTGTTACTCCGAGTTTCGTGCTCACGCACTCATCAGACAGTATTTAATGGAGAATAAACCTATCAAGTTATATATATACACGCGTCTATTGATTACAAAAAGCAGGGCAGTGCGGTTCTAATTACAATTAGGTGTGAGGAAAACCTAATAGAGTGTTGTTTTTGAGTCAATTGTTCTTAAGGTAAAACTTGTTTTCGTGGCGGCACTTGGAAATCAGTTCTGATCTTTTATTTAGGATTCTGTCGGGGTTTGCAGTAATGATCATTAGTTTCTCTGTTAAGCATAGGTCGCATCGTTTAGAAATGTTGTTGTAGGGTCCAAGTGCCGCCACGAAAACAAGTTTTACCTTAGGAACAATTGACTCAAAAACAACACTCTATTAGGTTTTCCTCACACCTAATTGTAATTAGAACCGCACTGCCCTGCTTTTTGTAATCAATAGACGCGTGTATATATATAACTTGATAGGTTTATTCTCCATTAAATACTGTCTGATGAGTGCGTGAGCACGAAACTCGGAGTAACAGAGAATTTTGTCTCTTCGTTATATCTTCTTATATATATATATATATATATATATATATATATATATATGTAGAGTTGGATTATTTGGTCGAAGACATTTATTGCTACTCAGAGTTTCATGCTCCTTGCGGAGCAATCATCAGGCAACTGCAGTTGCCTGATGATTGCTCCGCAAGGATGCGTTAAAATCGACAAACAAACTCTGCAAAATAACACATCGCTCTTGTTTACCTATTGAGCACTTTAACAGCTGATGAAATCTTCAATTCATTATATTACTATATTATATATATATATATCTATATATATTATTAATCACAGGAGTTCAGGCTTCAGGAGTAATCATTGATCGTTTATTGCGACAGTGCTGTTTCGTATGGTCCGAAATTGTAGGACCACACTCATCAGGCAACTTTAACGATTGACCGTTAAAATTAAAAGCTGGCAGTAAATATAGGGATGCGTTAAGAGATAGTATCCAGGTAACAGATGGATTGTGTCTTAGTTACGTTACTCTAGAGTTCTGAAGTACATATCTGTTTCTGTGGGGGCATGAACTCGCTAGTTCGTTTCGCCTGTTTAGGCTACAAAGCTCTTTTTTACAAATGATGATAAACTTTTCATAAAGACAAAGATTACATTTTTTGCTAATGTTGCTATAGGCTTTACATTTCTTTGAAACTTTCCAGCCCAGATTGTCCACTCGAAGGAAAATGCCTCCAATCAAATGTAATCTACCAAGCCACTGTAACTACAGCGACGACAACTGAAACTTACGTCGGACTGGCAACAAACTTTAAGGAACGTTACAGAAACCATCAGTCCTCCTTTCGACGCTCGAACAGAAGAAATGAAATGGAACTATCAAAATATATTTGGACTTTACAAGACTCTAACAAACCTTTCCAGATAAAATGGAAAGTTTTAAAGAAATGTAAAGCCTATAGCAACATTAGCAAAAAATGTAATCTTTGTCTTTATGAAAAGTTTATCATCATTTGTAAAAAAGAGCTTTGTAGCCTAAACAGGCGAAACGAACTAGCGAGTTCATGCCCCCACAGAAACAGATATGTACTTCAGAACTCTAGAGTAACGTAACTAAGACACAATCCATCTGTTACCTGGATACTATCTCTTAACGCATCCCTATATTTACTGCCAGCTTTTAATTTTAACGGTCAATCGTTAAAGTTGCCTGATGAGTGTGGTCCTACAATTTCGGACCATACGAAACAGCACTGTCGCAATAAACGATCAATGATTACTCCTGAAGCCTGAACTGCTGTGATTAATAATAGTCAATGCTCTTCAATTAAATGAATTGAGCGCTCTACGGAATACGTTCTACCCAGAATACAAGTATATATATATATATATATATATATATATATATATATATACTTAACCGGTGGATTTAAGGATTTTTCGCGCGCTCTGATTGGCTACTCAAACTCGGGATCTATTCGCTGATTTACTTCCAGCTCCTCTAGCGAACGACGCCAAACTCGCGTAAGTTACCAGTAAAATGGCTTTCCGGTTTGCTGCCGTAACAAACAAAGAAATTTCACAAATAATTAAACAAGCTGTTCCCGAATCACTCGGATAAGGTGACGGAATTCGCTTTGGAAGTTTTAACAGGTAAAGCTTTGTCCACCGCCTTGTTAGCTCAGTTGGGAGAGCGCTGGTCTGCTGAGAGGGAGGTCGCGGGTTCAAACCCCGGCCGGACCAACACTCAGGGTCTTTAAATAACTGAGAAGAAAGTGCCGCCTTTTTAATGACATCTGCAAATGGTTAGACTTTCTATTCTTCTTGGATAAGAACAAAAAACCATAGGTCCTGCCCCACAGCACTTTTACTGATCTGTTTATGTGGGACGCAAAGGAACCCACACCACTGTTCGAAAAGAGTAGGGGACGTTGACCCCGGTGGTGTGGTCAACCTTTACGGGTTGTGGGATTGGGTAGGGATGGCACCTTGCATGGGACCTATGAGTCCCGTTCGTGCCCATTCCCTCTGGGCAGGCCTGTGTCCAGAAAAGCTAGTAAAACAATTTATCGATGAAACAGGTGATTTCGTGGCTCGCGTCCGTTTATATGTCATAATAAAAGCAATACTAAGCCTTAAACCAATAATATAACAAAGAGCCTTCTATCTTATTAAAGACGGATGAGTTAGTTACCCTCGGACGTACACGAAAATTCAGACCCCTACCGTGGTACAAGGGGGGTTGATGGAACCCCTCCCCAGGGTAATTGATATGTTGCAGTACTTCGAAACGATTTTGCCTTCAGTGGAAAACTGGAAACCCTTTGATCTTCACTCCAATATGAGGTATATATTATGGGTGGTGGCGCTGCTGGAGGCCTGTGACGTCGCCAACAATGGTCGCCATCTTGGCTCCCATCTTGCATTTTACAAAGAATTAGAATGAAAAACATGCAGTTTCACTCAAAAATGGCTTGACCACCTGCTACTTATGACGTCGTATCTGGTAGCCATAGTAACAGACCATCACTAAACTTCAGTCTCAAAATGCGCGCGAGGGATGAACCAATAGCTACTGAAAACGTCAGGTAGTGATGTTTGCTCGTTTAGAAAAAAAATCCAAAAAACCTCGGGGCGGGGGGTGCCCCTCTTTGTACGTCCCAGGGTTAAGAAAAAATCCGGTAAACACTCCAAAAACGAAAAACATTTTCCATCCAGGTAAATATCGTACGGAAAATCGAGGCAAAAAAAGAACATTATGACTGAATCAAAATACATCACCGAACCCTCCACCAGCGCGTAAATCTAATCAACGATAATCAACGATACCCTTCGGAAAAGGGAAATCAAAGTTTGAAAAAGCGTGCCGGTTTTTCTGTTAACCGTAAGCTTATGTTTGCTTATCGGACCTGGACGAACTGTTGAGTGTAAATCAGCCTTTACATTTATACAACACAACATTAAATAATATTTGATAGTAACGTTTACTACAACGTACTGTTTTTGTCCTCTATGGTTAGACCTATGACGGTATATATATGCATTTCATTTTCCGCTGCAAAGTACTACATAATTTAGTGTACACAATTCAAACTGTGGCAAGTAAAGACAAGCCCGTTTACATCTCTAGTTATATCTTAATTCTAATACACAGCAAGCAGTTCAAGTTATCATGGAGCACAATTCTTCAAGGCCTCTCTTCCTGTACTTGCCTTTTCAAAATGTTCATGGTCCGGTTCAAGCACCTCAGAAATACATTGACAAATACAGCTTCATCGAAAACAAGACGAGGAGGACGTATGCAGCCATGCTGGATATTGTCGATGAAGCTATTGGTAACGTGACAAGGAGCTTAGAAAAAGCAGGGTAATATACATTGGTTTCCTATATTTTCAGCTCAGTTCGTAGAGCGCCGGTTTGCCGCACTGCGTAAGTAGTGATTCGAACCGCAAACAGAAGCTAAAACAACCAAAGTCTTATGAATCTTGGCAAAAACGTCTGGACCAGTACTGGTTGTGATGTACTTCAATTCAGTCCATACTGCTTTCGAGAGAGAAGGTAGCGTAGAGTCCGGTTGTGTGGTATAAATCAGTCCTCTCTAAGGCATATATTGTGGGGGCTTGCCTCGTCGGTATATTGTACTTCAAGACCCTAAAGTGCCCCTGACACAACTTTACTATACCAAATTATAAAATAACTAAGATAGTACGCGCGCTCTGATTGGCCGAGAGGAGTGTTTGCATCAGAGTATATAAACATGGTTGTGGCGTCAAGATGTTTTGCTTTTCGTGCGCTAATCACGCAAGCACAAATTTGAAAAAGTTTTCAAGTTCAAAACTCGACAAGTTTACTTAATTTACCCATCCCTTCGTCGGCTGAAACTTGGAAAATCGTTACAAAGAACGTGTGTCAATTTCTTTTTTCGCTTAAGCTGACATTTTAAGCGAGAAAAGTCCGTATTTTGGAAAGCATCCTTTTGCAAAACAAGAACTGACTACGCGTGCAAGACTTAGTGGACAAGACTTTGCGACTGGTAAGAATTTCTCTTTTAATCAGTGCCATAAAAAGAGTTTTGCGTCCTTTCTCGTGAAATTTATTTTATAAAAGCAATAGAAAACTTTTTTCCTGTGTTTGCATAGCCTGATGTAAATACTCGGGGGCGTTGGGAGAATTCTCGACAGTTGTGCAAACCCGAGACTTCGTCTCGGGTTTGCATGCTGTCTCGAACTCTCCCAACCCCTCTCGTGTTTATATCAGGCTATGCAAACACGGAAAACGTTTTCTGTTTTAAATGAAACACCAATTGAATCAGACGGTCCAGTATCTCTATATTCTATTTTTGATGACCCAAAACTGAAACGTTTGCGAAAATGTTGAAGTAATTGTCAATTATACTGGCCATCGTCGACGGTATACTCTGCATATTTAAAAAGAGGTGCTATGTAATTGATAGGCACTGTACCACTAGCGAAGGCAGGAAATAAATACATGATATCATTATCAATTATCCTTTCACATCAGCCTTTGGGACAACACTTTGTTCATCTTCACCACTGACAACGGAGGGCGTCCTAAGTCAGGAGGTTATAACTGGCCTTTGCGCGGACAGAAGGGAAGTCTCTTGGAGGGAGGAGTACGAGGGGTGGCATTTGTCCATGGGCCAATGCTGAAGAAAACAGGCGTGAAAAGTAAAGAATTGCTTCACTCCACGGACTGGTATCCCACACTGATCAACCTCGCAGGTAAGAAGGAGGGAGGGAGGGGTCCGAGGGGGTGGCTTTTGTCCATCAGCCAATGTTTAAGAAAAGAGGCGTCAAAAGAAAGGATGCAGAGTAGTGCTTCACTCCACGGACTGGTATCCTGCACTTATCAATTGTGATAATAGCTAGATATTGTCAGTCCAAGTGCGAAAACACTATGGGCCAGTTATTTAAACGGAGTTTAGCCAGTGCCAGTTTGCCGAACGCCTTATGTAAACACCATTTATTGTCAACAGTGTCATGAAAGCATATAGCGTAGACTAGAAAAGCGTTTGTCCTCTTAAAATAACCCGCCGAGGAAGAAGAGATCTGGAGGTCCGAAGGTTTCCTAAACTTGCGGTCTAACTTAGATTTCGTTTAAATAACCAACCCTATAAGTCTTGCTACAATCGGCGACAAAATGAGTTGAGACACCCTTCAAAATGAGTTGAGACACTTCGCCCAAAAGTAGGCTTTTTTACGTTTTATGACTTCAAAAGGAGGAAATATAGCTTTCCTCCCCCATCCTCTCCGTACAATGTTGGGCCCTTGTCCTAGCTACCTATAGAAAACAACAAACACCCCAACTTTGAATGGAGGGGACAGGGGAGGGGTGCGGATTCTTTTGTTCTCCGAAGTCACCCTATTTAAGTACAATGTCTCAACAATTTTGTCGCCGATTGTCTGAATCTCAAAAGTGGCCGTACGTCCTTTAGAAAGTTAATTGAATTCATTTTTTTATGCTGGGATGTAAGACCCCTGGTGGCTTTTTATTTGTTATGTTTGACTTCATCATACCTATTTTAGAACAATTAGAATAAGGCGATTTCGTTATTTTCAGTGCGTGACATTTCGTGTCACGCTTAACTGTGCCTTGACATCGTGCGATGTGGCGCGTCGGGCACGATTTCTTATTCTCTTCTTTATCGAAACGCATCGAAACAAAGAACAGAGTGAAAAGGATAGAAAACTTAATAGATTTCTAGGCATTAAAGTAGTTATAATGGCTAAAATTGCTCTTTAGGACGAATTTCCACGAGTAACCACGATCCACGATCAAGAAAAAAACAAGATAATCTAACTATCTTTTAAGAACAAAGTTGGTTACTCGTGTGGTTACTCGTGGCCAGTCTCCTCCTGACCTCATAGTTTCTACTGTAAAGTACATTCTTCAAAGACCCTCATGGGTATATGGGCAACGAATTTGCTGCACAGATTTAGCGAAGCTATGCAGCTTTGCTGTGCATTAGAAGTTGGAACATTTTTCCTGAAAATTCTCCTGCGCAGAGCAATCATGGCTATTTTATCGTCCATCCCACCCTTATCAAATAGCCAAACTTCGAATAAACACTTCGAACTTACCAGGGATATATTCAAATACAATATATTATCTGCCATCGATTCCTACCGATCACACTTAGTTACCAGAGGAAAATCAATCATTCGGTACGTGGGTATACTGCGTAATTACTTGAAATCACTACCGAGTACAAAGATTGTCAAAACCAATTTTCCCTCGAAAAACACAGGAAAGGGATTATATGGGTATCTTATCTATCTTCTGAAAAACGACCCGGTGAATATAGTAATCTCAACTAGTTACCGTCTCCTAACCGGTGCTAATAGGACAACAGCGCGTAGATTTCGATTCAGACAATCGGCGACAAAATGAGTTGAGACACTTCACCCAAAAGTAGGCTTTTTTACGTTTTATGAACTTCAAAAGGAGGAAATATAGCTTTTCTCCCCCATCCTCTCCGTACAATGTTGGGCCCTTGTTCTAGCTACCTATAGAAAACAACAAACACCCCAACTTTGAATGGAGGGGACAGGGGAGGGGTGCGAATTCTTTTGTTCTCCGAAGTCACCCTATGTAAGTACTATGTCTCAACAATTTTGTCGCCGATTGTAGACTGGAGTACTGACAATTTGACTAATAATAGACGCTGTTTAACTGTGACAAAAGACGGATCGAAACGAACCAATTACTGATTACGAGTCTTTATAGCCAATAACATCACGGCTCAACTGACAGACGACCAATAACATCGCGACGTAATTGACCAACCAGATCGATAACCAGAGTACAATACCATCAACTGACGTGATACAACTCACTTTGACTCTGAAGATGACTACTGCACAGGATGTCAAAACGTCAGTCACTGTCAACAACAACGGTCCTATTCAGGACTACGTTCATCCGGACGATCAATCTCAACCTTCTTTTGAAATGACTCCTGGGTTCAAACCTTTCACCACTGCAAAAAATATACAACTACTATCCTCCAACCTGCGATCAGGCGTTTTTGTTTGCCCACGGAAGACATATTAAATAGTGGAGCTCTCGATGCGTCCAGCGGAACACCATGAATAAGGAAATTTGGTTATCTATGCATCCAATTTTGTTTCTGACAAAATCGTCCGTTTTTACATACGTCGCTCCCTCATGTTAGCGGTATGTGAATTGTCTTAATGTATATTACAAAGCATATACAAATTGTGTTTAACTTGATATTGGAAATGCATGTTATGATCAATTGACATCTGTCAAAATAGGGCATCCGGCGACAAGTGTCACATGACTGCAATGCGGGCTCGGGTATACAGCTTATTGAGTTGACGTGTTTTTTAAAGTTCTCCGCTGACCAGTTATGGTAATCAAGTGATCACAGAAAGTCTTCAGAAAAACTTTATTTTAGAAAGGTCTCACGAGTGCTTCGCTTTTGGCCTTGGCTAAATCTATTTAGTAAAATCCAACTAGTGGTCTATCATCAATGCTGCGTTCTGATTGGTTGAGCTACTACTAGGCTATATGAGCGCGGGCTTTTTGAACACAAAAAAGGATTAAAGTCTAGCTTTAACTAGCTAAACGTTTTTTATTCTCGATATTTTTTACCAACTAGTTGGATTTTACTAAAACAATTATTCCTCTCGCCCTCATGGCCTCTGAGTCAATAGTCCATTCTGCCTTCGGCCTCATGTGCTATTGACTCAGAGCCCATTCGGGCTCGAGGAATAATTGTTAAATATTAAAGATGTAGAAAGGCTATGATCGCAGGCTAACTATCGTCGATGTAGCAGGACAAAATACGAAAATATTGTGAATCCAGTTTTATCGAACATAAGACATAATCAAGACCTTGATTCTTTTAGGAGGAAAAGTCGATAATAATCCTGTACCAGTAGACGGCTTTGATGTATGGGAGACAATTTCTACGGGCAAGCCGTCTCCAAGAACTGAAATTCTCCTGAACATCGACTTAGCACCGAAGGAGAAGCGTTACCGAGGGATGGAGTCTATTCACCCCTATTATCAGGGCGCGGCAATTCGTGTTGCAGATATGAAGCTATTGGTGAGCTGTCCGAATTCCACTTGGTTCAAGCCACCAGAACTTTATAACAAAGAAATGGTTAGTAACTAAAGGTCTTTCATGAATATTTTTGATGAACATAATCTGGATTCCCTACACGAATCGAATCCATAACTTCCCAAACACTGGGTGACCGCTCTATCCACTTAGTTTCGAAGAAATTCATGAAGCCCAAAGCCAATTACTGGGTGCTTACTTTCGAGTTTTTACTGTGTCATGCATAACGAAAGGATCAGCGATGTCGACGGCGTACCTATTTTACGGTCATAAACAGAGAAAAAAGGAAAACGTTATTCTCGTTAAAAAGTAAGAGGCCCTCTAGGTGGTGGTGTGAAGTTTTCGTTGCCATGCACGGGGTGAAAAAAGTTGATATATACAATTGAAACTCTGTTGTTTTGCCTTGAGTTAGGAGACAACGGATGTTACTAAAACGGGGAACGGGGAACGGGGAACGATCACGAGGAACGAAATGAAACATTGAAACAAAACCCTAGCCTTGAACCCCAGCCCTATCAATAACTTCATTTCATATTCTCTGCTTTGTTCCGATTTTTCAATTTCCCCTTCTCCGTGCTCGTTTAGGCCCCGCTCCCCGTTTTAGTAACATCCGGGGTCAACGTACGGTGGCAACTAATCCGTGTATTGCCGTTTTTGTCATTTGTTCTAATGTTGACAAAGGACGGGTACCTTATTACATGAAATTTTCGCGACACGTTAATTTCACGAATTTCGCGATACAAAAAATGGCGAAATTAAAGTGACGCGAACAATAAGTGTCGCGCACATAACATGACGCGAAAATTAAGTGACTGACATCATGTCCATAATTAAGAAAGAACAAGTTTATTACCACTGAAACGTTTACAAGATCACATTTTTTTATTTTTCTGAGGAATTTTCAGTGTAAATGGATGTTGTAGTCAATTGACTCGAGAACGATAATTTACGTACAAGCACGAAATGCTTGTGGACATAGTGAGAACTGCTTTGTTACTGTTAAGGATATAAGAAATAAATCATAAATGAACTGCGGAAATGAAATGAAAATGAAGAAATGATCTTCGCAGTGAATGCAATTTATGCAGTTGGGTAAAGAAGCCTGAAAAAAAAAATCAGGACTTCAACGGGGTTTCAACCCGTGACCTCTTGATTACCAATGCGATGCTCTACCAATTGAGCTATGAAGCCACTGACGTTGGGAGCAGGTCAGGTGACTGTTGACACTAGTCTCACTGTTGCATTTTTCTTACTTTTGACGTTATTGTTCCTTTGATAAAGGAATTATATTTAATTCAAGGAGATGTTAAATGACATTGCCTATAAAATGTATATTGTTGTACTCAAAAATGCGAAATCAAAGTGATTCAAAATATAAAATTTTCAGAAAATCGCGAAATTTAAGTGTCGCGAAATATGCGCACATCTAAATTGCGAGGTAAACATGTCGCCAAAATTTAATGTAAGTAGTTATCTCTTTTTACCATTTTCAGAATTCTCAAGTGAAAGGTTTTATTGAAGTTGCTCTTTACAATATCACAGCTGATCCTACAGAACACAATGATTTGAGCCAAAAATTGCCTGACGTCGTCCAAAAATTGCAAGAGAGACTGGAGTTTTACAAACGTAGCGCCGTAACCCCTCTAAACAAGCCCACAGACAGCCAGGCTTGGGATGTTGCGCGGAAGGATAGCATTTGGACGCCTTGGAGAAGCACAGTGGGCGAGAAAGCCTAATAAACATGAGATTTAAGTGAGAATTTGTACGGCATTTGAGGTGTTAAGTATGGGATTGTCTCAGGTTAACAAATACCGTAAAATTCCGAAAATTAGCCTCTCCATGTACAAGCCCCTTTAAATATAAGCCCCCCAAACCGGTAACGCAAAACACCCTCCGTTAAATCGCCCCTCCAAATATAAGTCCTCCGGGGGCTTGCACTTGGAAAATTGCCCTCGAATACAACGTAAAACAAAGCAAAAACGGTAAATTTACTTCCAACTGTAAGGTGGCGATTTTGAAACGCAAATTTCCCTCCGTAGATAAGCCCCTGCGAATATAAGTCCCTCCAAAAATAAGCCCCTCAAAAAGGGCCTTTGAAAAATATAAGCCCCGGGGCTTATTTTCGGAATTTTACGGTATTTACTAAAACAGTGGGTATAATATGAGGAAGGGTGAATGTAAATTGGGAAATGTTATCAGGGTTTAAGTAGCTCGAATGAACATTGTGGTGCTTTTTAAATTTGTTCACGCCTTAAACAGGGCGCTTGTTCGAGGGTGGCTTTTATTTGAAAGTTGGGCGCCACAGAAAAGTAGACATAAACACAGAAGAACACTTAATACCAAACAGTGAATTAAGAACACGCAACAGCCATGCTTTTAAGTATAGAATGCCAAGAGTTTGTAAGGACGTCTTTAAGTTTTCCTTTTCTCCTAGATCAATAACAGAGTGGAACACACCGCCCGCTGACTTAGTGAATTGCAAGTCATCATCTTTGTCGTTGTTGTTGCACGACTACGACGTGAAACTTGGCAAACTTCCTAGTTAATACACGTTTTATGGATGAAATGTGTATGTGCTGAAAAAAGACTTTGTTGCTTTTGTTCCTGTTCGCTTTTATCTTCACTGCCGCTTATTTTCGCCCAGCTGGTCGCTAGCATTTCTCATTTTGAATTTCTCACCACCAATATAAAATTTTCATGTTGTCCTTGTAACGAAATACGTCTCCTTTGTCTTTTATCTCTCGCTTTAGCTCTTTCTCTGTTATCCCCTTAGTGTAAACATAATTAAAATTTAGTCGAAAAAAGACTCGGCTTTGTTTAATTTTCCTCTCTAAAAGTCCGGATGGTCATGCGATTTACCGCCAAAACGCAAGGGTGATAGGATGAGAGATTTCACAACGACTTACACGTAGGGGCTGACATATGGACGGACGGACGGTCGGACGATCACGTGATTACCAAAATTTCTCGCGTTTATAGCTTACCATATTTTCTTACCCATGGTGCTCCGCTGCGCGTGCTTCGCGCGCGAGAGAGCTCCGCTAAAAAGGATTAAATTATATTTGAAGTATTTGTTTTTTTGCATAAATAAGATTAATGTTGTTTTGTTGTGCTTTTCAAATAAATCCAGCTTGTTCAAGAGCGTCTGTCTTCAGTTTTGCCAGTCGATCCTGTAATATACATTATGAGAAACATAAATTTTTTTGTTAAAATCTGCATTTGTTACCAGGCGTGAAACCCGTAACTTCAAGCTCCACTAAGCGAAAGTTGAATACGCTGGTGGTTGTAGATTTCAGATTCATCTCTGCATTCTTGCATGCGTAATAAGCCGTGAACATTTGGTGATTACAGGAATCGGTGCTGAAGCGAACAACAAAAACAGCCAGCATCAGAATAAGTAAAAAGAAGTATTTTCAAAACAAATTGCCTGACCACTTCAAAACAAAAAAGCCAGATTATGCTAGCGGTGCTAAATTAAGATAAAAGCCAAAAGTTACGCTCGGTTTGCCAAATTATGCCAAAAATTATGCTTGCACAATCGACAAAACCCTAGACGGCCCCAGAGTAGTTCTGAGTGACAAATAGAAAGAGTCACATGGTAGTCACGTGTTCCGAGCTTGAGACCACTTACCGCTGATACATAGATCCAGAGTGTTTCATATTTCTGTAATGAACAATCGATGCTTCGCTTTTTCTGGTTTGGCTTCTTTTTTATTGCTGTCGTTTTGGAGACAGCAAATGGTTCCAAGCCTCCTAACATAGTACTGACTGTAATTGATGATCTGGGTTGGAGTGATGTGGGATTTCAAGGATCTGTTATTCATACTCCAAACATCAACAGACTGGCAGCTGAGGGCGTCATATTGGACAACTACTATGTACAATCTATGTGTACGCCAACCCGAAGTACCCTGATGACTGGAAGGTACCCCATACATACAGGTGACAAGACAAGGGCTTAATTTATTTGGGGTCTTATACCACCTTCTTGTACATCGACTTTTTTTTAAAAAATATTTAAAAGTACAATTTTCTACGTTAATCTATTAATTTATTACACTATACAAAACAAGTTATTACAACTAGCGATAGTTACATACGCACAGACACATATTTTGATCTACATTTTGTCTTCCTTCTAGAGATCTTATTTTTAAGCATTCAAACACATGCTTTGCTATCAATTTTGGGTTTCAGGCTTCTCGTTAGGGGGATTTATTAAAAACATGAATATTT